ATATGCGGAGCCGCTGGTGCGAAATGTCTGTTTGGCAGAGAGCTTTAAGAATGGGAAAAACAGTCATTTTGCCCATTTCTTTCCATTCTTGGGCGATTTTGGAGCTTTTTGAGGGGGGATTTTAACTAGCAATTTGGAGGTAAGTTAATTCTACACACTTTGAGTTAAATACCTAGATTATGGGTAGATTATAACTAGTAAATCTTAGAAATCAAAGGTTTAGATGAAAAACCTAGATTTTTAAAAAAAATGAGATTTTAACCACGAAAATGGTTATGGAATTGGATAGAAAGTATATATTTGAGTTCTTGAGATTATGGGTAACGTTTTCATCCGAAAATTTTCAAAATTCGAGCACGTGGGTCCGGGGTGAATTTTAGAAATATTACCATTTTGGATAGGGTAATTTATTTAATAGATAAATTTCGAATTTTTGAGCACATATTAATTATTTTGTATAATATTTGGTTAGCTTCGGATTTGTTTTGGCGTCGAATCGGGAAGTTTTACGCGACGTGGTAATCGAAAAGTGGGCTCTGAGACAAGGTAAGTCTCTTGTCTAATCTTGTGAGGAAAAAATTACCCAATAGGGATGAAATTGAATAATTGTTGCTAATTGCGGGGGCTACGTACGCACGAGGTGACGAGAGTCCGTGCGTAGCTACTATTAATGCTAAAGTCCGGGTAGTTTAGGACTCAAAGCATGAATTACTTGTGTAAATTCTATTCTTTGTTTAATTAATATTACTTGATATATATATTGTGAATTGTTAGATAAAGATATTAAAGTATGAAAATCTCATATGCTTGATTTCTGTTTAAATTGATTAATTATTAAGAGAAATTGTTCTTCATCCCGAATTTATCTTATAATAAATATACTCTCCTTCCGGAGGTACATAAGAAAATGTCCTCCTTTCTTGTGAAGCGGGTCGAACGCTTCGGCAGGATAGATGCATCTATGGATCGTGCCGCACGTCCCTCGGCAGTGTACTCGAAACTCTGGATCGGGTCGTACAACCTCGACAGAAATCTTGCTTAATAATAATAATAATTACACGATACTTGGACAGTTTATTGCAGCTTGTAAAGCTATTTGATAAATTGAAAATTTATTGAAATTGAATTGCAGCTTGTAAAGTTATTTGATAAATTGGAAATTTTTTTGAAATTGAAGGATTTAATTAATAGATTGAAAATTGTTGCATTTGAAGGATTTTTATTATTTCTGCTAATTGAATAAAAAAAGATTATTGTTAACTTTGTGAATTATACTGATTTAAATAAATATAATTTATCCTATTTATTATTGTTGACCCTTAGTGAGTGTCAAAGTCGGCCATCTCGTCTCTACCACTTCGAGATTAGGCTTGATACTTACTGGGTACACGTTGTTTACGTACTCATGCTACACTTGCTGCACTTTTTGTGCAGGATCTGAGACAGATACTAGTAGAGGACCTATCATCGCACATCCTCGTTATCCAGGGGCGTAGTGGTGAGCTGCCTTTCTGATCCGTCCTGCAGCTACCAATGCCTCTTCTTGTATTTTTAATTCTGTCTATTTTCTTTTCAGACAGTATTTGGAGTTTTGTATAATCTACTAGATGCTCATACACTTGTGACACCAGGTCTTGGCACACACATTGGTAGAATTCGGTGTCTTATTATTTTTCTTGGATTTAAATTTTATTGATATATGTTTAATTTATTAGTTCGCTTGCCTAGCTATAGTGTTGGGTGTCATCACGACCTATAGGTGAAATTGGGCCGTGACATTAAGCTTTATCTTTATAGGAAGGGATTTATAGAGAATTACTTTGTGTGGACTAATCATGGAGAGATCGATGGTAACCGTGAAATATTTCATAACATGGTTGTTGGTGAAAGTAGTAGGTCGGTGGAGAATACAAATCATGATTTTAGAATTCAGGATATGGTTGCGGATGCTTTTGGGATGCACTTCGGGGGTGAGCCTAATGAAAATGTTGAACAAACTCCTAATGATGATGAAAAATATTTTTATGAAAAGTTAGAGGAAGCTAGTTGTCCACTACGTGAAGGAAGTCCGCACTCTGAGCTGTCTGTTGCAGTTAGATTACTAAGTGTCAAATCTGATTGGAATATTTCTCAAGCAGCCATGGACTCTTTCATTGACCTTATGAGTGAACTAGTTGACCCAAATATCAACTTACCTGGTGATTTCTATAAGGCAAAGAGATTGGTTTCTAAGTTAGGACTTTCGTCAATGAGAATTGATTGTTGTGAAGATGGTTGCATGTTATATTATAAAGATGATGCAAATTTAGAAAGTTGTAAATTTTGTGAAAAGCCTCGTTTCAAGAGGCTTTCCAGCGGGAATATGGTCGTTGTAAAGGCGTCGATGAGTTTTGCTTCTAATATGAGATGACACTTTGAAAATAGAAGACCGCCTGGTGTTATGTGTCATCCTTCAGATGGAGAAGCTTGGAAGCACTTTGATAGGACATATCCAAATTTTGCTAGTGAACCAAGGAACATTCGGTTAGGTTTGTATACGGATGGCTTCACGCTTTTTCTATATCTGCAACACCATATTCATGCTGGCATGTCTTTCTTACACTTTATAATCTACCACCTGAGTTGTGTATGACTAGTCCATATATATTTTTAAATTGTATTATCCCCGGTCCACGTAATCCAAAAAAGTTTGATTGATGTATATTTGCAACATTTGATTGATGAGCTAAAACCGTTGTGGTATGATGGTGTTGAAACATATGACATATCAACCAATCAGAATTTCAATTTGCGTGCTAATTTAATGTGGACTATTAAAGATTTTCCTGCATATGGAATGTTGTCTGGGTGGATGACTGCTGGGAAGCTAGCTTGTCCTTACTGCATGGAAAATGGTAAAGTGTTCACTTTGAAACATGGCTGAAAGCAATCATGGTTTGATTGTCACCGTCAATTTTTGCCTGATAATCATGAGTTTAGAAGGATGAAACATGCATTCAAAAAGAATAAAGTGGAATATGATTCGCTACCTCCGATACTTTCAGGTGAGGAAATTTGGGAGAGGGTCTAGAACTTCAGTAAAGTTACTAAGGCTCCACCTTATAGATTTCCCGGATATGGTGTTACTCATAATTGGACGAAACAGAGTATATTTTGGGAGTTGCCTAATTGGAAGGATAATCTTCTCCTACACAACCTTGATGTCATGCATATTGAGAAGAATTATTTTGACAATTTGTTCAAAACAGTGATGGATGTTAAAGGTAAGACAAAAGATAATCCGAAGGCTAGAATGGACTTACAAGAATATTGTAGGCGGCCTGAATTATACTTGCAGACAACAAACAATGGTAAGGTATTCAATCCTAAAGCAAGTTACACATTCACTTTGGAGGAAAGACGACAAATTTGTGATTGGGTTACGAAATTGAAGATTCCTGAGGGTTATGCGCCGAATCTAGGAAAAAAAGTAGATATGGAGGTAGGGAAGTTGAGCCATTTGAAAAGTCATGACTGTCATATTTTCATGGAAACCTTAGTGCCTATTGCATTTTGTGGTTTGCCTGAAAGAATTTGGAAACCCATCACAGAGATTAGTTTGTTTTTCAAAGATTTGTGTTCTACCACATTAAGGGAAGAAAACCTATTTCCATGTGATTTCTTTGATGTGATGGAACACCTTCCAATCCACCTTGTACGCGAGGCACGACTTAGAGGGCATGTTCAATGTAGATGGATGTATCCCTTTGAGAGGTAATATTATAAGTTTGATGTAATATTCTATTTTATTTGAATGTTCTTGGCTAACATGACATTATGTAGGACAATTGGCAAATGCAAACATTTTGTTAAGTAGAGGAATAGGATTGAAGGATCTATATGCGAAGCCTATCTTTTAAAGGAAACTGCACATTTTTGTTCTTATTATTTTGAGAGTAACGTGTCATGTTATAGGAATAGGCCCAATAGGCACACTGTCGAATGTGTGAATGATCCATTATATTTACCAAGGTCCATATTCAATCAACCAGGCCGATGTTCTAAGGATGTTAGAAAGAGAAGTTTGAGTGATATGGAATACAAGTCAGCTACAATTCATGTGTTGCTAAATTCTCCCGAAGTTGTACTATTTCTCAAGTAAGTTTTGATTTATTAGTTATCAAAATGTAATTACATATTGATGTAACTACTAAAAATATTTGATGTGTCACAGTCTCTTCGTGGGTCAATTTGGCCATGATGTTGTATATACGAGATTTGATACGTGGTTCAAATAGTTTNCGTATGTAGTGAATGGTTATAAGTTTCATACAGATAATTTCTCTAAAAATAAAAATAGCAACAACGGGGTGTGGGTTCAAGGTGGTGATGGCAACCAAGTTGGATATATAGATTATTATGGTGTGGTCAAAGAAATATTACAACTAGAATATACAGGCTGTCCATATAAGAAATCGATACTCTTTAGATGCAAGTGGTTTGACCCAAATCCAACAAAAGGTACAAAAGTACACCACCAATACAACATAATATAGGTTAATCATACGAGGATGTATGTAGGTAGGGTGGAAGTCGAGAATGTGTTAGATATTGCATATCAAAACAATATCTCCAGTTTTCACCAAATAGAGGACGATCAGTTAGAAAATGATTTGGAACATCCTGAACGCATATTGAAAGAAGGTGATATAAATGAAGTAACAATTATAGAAAATGAGGACAAAGAATCAACTGATGAAATTCAAACAAGTGAGGACGAGGAATTCTCGGACGAGGAACAATACGTCGACGAGGATTAAAAAGTTGATTTTTTAAAGAACTCTCATTTTATAACTAATTTCTTATATGTTTCAATCTAAATATGTATTATATTATGCAGATGGCAAGCAAGGGTCAAGGTAACAATGACCCTAACAGTACTCGGGGTCGAGAAAAGGCTAGGAAGGGAAAGAGGAGGGTAGATAATAATACTCCCTCCTTTCCACCCTCTTCAGAGATGCCTATGTCTTATCCCCCACCGCACGGCTATACTGAGCTGCCACAGCATCACGAGGCCTACACCTTCATCCAGACACCAGGTCTTCCATCACAGGGCCATAGGACTATACGTCTGACATACAGTCCAGTTGCCTCACAACCACGTAGATCCCATCCATCTGCATCACAGCCACATGGATCGCAACCATCTGCATCACAGCCACGTGGATCGCATCCCTATATATCATAGCCATATGGATCGCATACATCCATGTCACAACCACTCGGGTCACAACCATCAATATCACAGTCACATGGATCGCACCCATCCATATCACAGCCACTCGAGTCACAGCCATCAGTATCACAGCCACATGGGTCGCATCCAGCTATGTCGAAGTCACAGGGATCGCAGCTATCTTCATCATCGACTCCATCTATTTTAGGCATGTGCCTGTGAGACAGTAGCTCTAAGCCCCTACACCGTCTACACATGCCTTTGATACACATGCTGAGGATGATGATCCAGAGGTAGTGCATTATGATTGCTATGGCAGGATCATCATAGTCCCTGAGGGTGACGGATAAGAGTTATTTGTTATTTTTGCGTCTATTGTTTTGTAAGTTTTTACTAATATATTCATGTGTTTTTATTGTTAAATTGTAGGTTTAGGCCGGGTAAGAAGACTACGAAGATAATCACCAATGCCATCAAAAAGCTTTAAGATGGCCCTTATGCGACTTGGACTGATTTCCCATTCTCGCTGAAGGGGCAAATTTTCAATCAGTTTAAGGTATAAATGTTCTTTTAAGTAGTTTAATAATTCATATTTATGAATTTTCCATCTAATATTTAACTTTTGAAATGCAGAGCAAATGTGTATGGGAAGAGCGCTATAGCGCGAAAGTGGCTGCAAATTTTCATCATAAAGCTCGCAAAAGATTAGCGGATCATTTCTCGGATGCTAGAAAGAAGAACAAGAGGCCTAACTAGTGTCTTGAGCATTTATGGAATGATTTGTTAAGGCAATGGCTTACCGCAGATTTCTTAGAGAGGAGCGAAAAAGGAAAGAAAGCTCGCTCGTCCGAGAAGGGAGGCTCCTTGCACACTGGGGGTGTTATCAGCCTAGGGACAATAAAAAGAATAATGGTAATTGCTTAATTAAATTATTTTACTTTTCTAAGTATATCAATTCTATTTATTAACTAAATTAATTCATTTTTAGAAAAAGAAGTATGGGCGTCCAATGAGCCATGATGAGTTATTCAAGGAGACACATATTGTAAAGAAGAAGAAAAAGTGGGATGGAAATAGGTGGGTTGAGGATCGGGCCTCGACTGCATATGTAACCTTTCAATTTTCTTTACGTGTTATAATTTACTTATAAGAATTTTTAAATACTAATTTAATTTAAAATAATGTAGGATCGCTACCAAAGTAACGTAGAGGACTTCATTCGTAGTCATCCAACTGGTAAATCGGGTGAGCCAACCCAACCTTCGGACAAGGATGCTGAAAGAACATGGTTGGAGGTTGTTGGCGGTCCAAAATAGGGGAAGGTATATGGGCTTCCTACTAAAATATTCCATCCTTATAGGTGTGGAATACAAGGAATAGGGACTTCCTCGCAAGGCGGGGAACTTAATAGGGAGAGCCTCTCGGCTATGTGGGAGACAATATCCGAGCTAGAAGCGGCCAAGGAAAGAGAAAGGCTTAGAGATGCTCAACTCCTTGGCATGCAAGCTCAGATCAGAACTCTCCTATCTACTGGAGCTTTTCCGTTGCCTCGGTCTCATGAGTCATAGCCAGAGGCTCGACCTCCACGTGATCGTTCCTCCCATCCTCCTCGTGATCGTTCCTCCCGTACTCCCCGTGATCGTTCTTCATGTCCTCCCCATGATCGTTCTTCCCGTCCTCTACAAGACCGTTCTCTATACCGTCTTGTAGATGAAAGTGCGTCAGACGGTGATGATGATGTTGTAAAAAATACCCCTTGATAATTACTTTGATATACTTTGAACTAGACTAATAGAACTAGTTTTGGATTAGATTGAATAATTTTGAACTTGTTGTAATTAGTATTTGCTTGGTTTTGGATTGTGATGTTCAATTGAACTTTAATTTGTTAGTTTTAACGTATTAATTGGATGTTTGGTTGTTATTGTTGTTGTTGTTAGGTTTTTGGTTGGATTTGTAGTGAATTAGTGGTTATTAGATTTGAATTAAGGGTAGTGGTATGTTGTTTCTATTTGGCAGGTGGTGTAGCTACCAAAACAAGCATATTCTGCCAAAATTATAACTAGAAAACCGACCAACCTTGGTCGGTTACTAATAAAAAAAATTTCACATTACCGACCAATGTTGGTCGGTTAATGTACAATGAATTCCCAGAATTCAACATTACCGATCATCTTTGGTCGGTTTGTTGCCTGCCCAGTCCAGTTTAACGACCAATTTTGATCGGTATTGTTACATTTTAATTATTTAAAATAAAATATATTTTACAGTACCGACCAAAGTTGGTCGTTTTTCTAAATTTTAATAATTTATACAAAAACTATATTTTTCAATACCGACCAAAGTTGGTCGGTAGAAAAAATTAATAAACTTAATACATCGACCAAGTTTGGTCGGTAAAATTAAATTAATAAAATAATTTTCCGACCAGTTTTGGTCGGTAAGCCAAATACATTGTCAGATGGTCGTGTAGAGCATACCGACAATGTTGGTCGGTAATTTTTGATCAATTTTGCTCGGTATGACTTTCCGACCTTTAAAATACCGTCCACACGAAAATGGTCTCGTTTTGTACGGTTATTGGCCATTACCGACCAACTTTGTTCGATTTTTGTGGACGGATTTTCCCGAATTTTTAGTAGGGTAGTGTCATATAGGCAAAACTTATCTATGTTCCACAATCAAGATGATCCTTACTATATTGATACCGTAAAATGCACTAAATCAACAATTGATTGTGATTACAACAACTGCTTTCATATCAGGAATTAAAAGATTTGCTCAAGTCCAGTTGTCAAAATGCAGTAGGAACAACTAGCAATTACACCATAAAAGTATTAAGAAGTCCAAACATAGTGTTATTGGAAAATGAAGACCTAAGGTGGATTGATATACCTAAGGGTACAATTATAATTTTGATAATGTTCATTGAATTACCCGCTAAATCATTAATAAAATTGGACAAACCGAAACCCGAACTAATAAACCAATTGTCAAATAACACAAAACTATTACCTAAACATTAACCCAATAACCCGATATTAATAATCCAATAAGATTTTTTCGGTTTCAGGCTAATAACATAAATTAAATAATTTATTTTTTAAAAAATGAGCTTTTTATGAAGATAGATTAGATTCTAGGGGTAGTTTGGTTCATAGGATAAAGTGGGATATCCTGGTATAGAAATTGCGATTAAATTTATTCCACATTTGATTGTAGGGATTAACTAATTCCGGAATAAATTTTACACTAAAATATGGGATTAGCTATCCCACTATTGCACCGAACAACCCCTTAGGTTGAAGCTTGAGCCTTGAAGAAGGCAGGAAAACATCTCAAATGTTATTGCAATTAGCCCTTGGAACATCTCAACAACAGTTATGTGATGACCCAAAAATGTCACCTTTAATTTAAACGTTCATTTCTGTGTTCTATGAAGATGTTGAGAGCTAACCTGTTATGAGTTACGTCTCACCTGAATAGTTGATGTTAATGGCGCTCATTTTCTAGTAATATATTGCTTAAGATGCCACTGTCAGTATTGTTTTCATGTTGTGTTACGTTGATTGGATTATGTATATTTTGTTAGGATTGGTTTCTGGGATTCTCTGGCAGGTGGATAGGCCCAGTTACAAAGGAAACTCTGGCGAAATTTTGGAAATTTTGGGAGTTAGTAAAAAAAATCGGGAAATTGAAATGGGTGAAAGAAGAGATAAGTTATGTTATGTGTTTGGGGGCGGACTCTGCTTCTCATTTAAGGACTATTAATATTATGGATACTAATTGGATATGATAACAAGTGTACGAGGCATATTATAAGTGATGTGAGGTCTAAGGAGAGGCCTAAGTCTAAGTCAAGTTGGAAAATTTCACAATAGACTAAAGTTTCAAATGGGTACGCACAAGACCAAACTTTGAACGAGCATATATACCTATATATAAGGAATTACGTGATTATATTCCTATCAAATGAAAGGTATTCGAGTCTATCTTCTAACGATTCAAACCGTTCATCATTTGGACACTCCTACAAAACGTTATGACCAAATTACCAAAGGCTGAAAAAGCAATTTTTGCGAAAAATTCTGCGATCGCAGAATAGTTATGCGATCGCGAAACTGCTTCTGCGATCGTAAACTGGTCGCAGGATGGACCAGAATAGTCCAGTTCTGGGCACCGATTTTTGCGACCATTGTGCGGCCCACATACCCATTCTACGGTCCATTATGCGACCGCAGACCCAATTTCGGGGGGTTAATTTTTCTATTATCATAACCCGGCCCTATTTTGATAAATAGGCTTTGGGGTTTATTTTAGGGCAATTATCTGATGATTTTAGAAAGAAGTTAGAGTGATTTAGAGAGAGGTAGAAGCTCAAGTTCTTTGTTCATCAAAAATCTTGTTCAAGCTTTGAAATCCAATAAGGAATTATCACAAGATCTTTACCCAAGAGGTAAGGTTCTAACCCCTATTCTTCAATTTCGAGTTTGGGTAAAGATGGGTGTTTGTGAGTTTGATTCTTACATGTGAGGGTATTAGTTATACATCCTTGTACCAATAAGATTATGGAAAGAGTGTTGAGTTCAAATGGGTAAAGATTGGATTGAAAATGGTAGAAATCTTCAAACAAAACTTTAATTGAGGATTTGAAAGGCAATCCGATGTCGAAATTTGATAATTTTTGTATGGTTGAACTCGTATCGGAATGAGTGTTCGGATTTTATGATTTTTTTCAGGATTCGAGATGTCGGTCCCACTGTTAATTTTTAAAATAAAAATTCAGATTTTAATCCGGAAAATTTATAATTTCATATAGAATTGTTCCTACGATTCGTGTTGAGTATTCCGAATTGTTTGTGATTAGATTTGAAGCTTTCAGACACGAATTCGCGAGGCAAAGGTGTATTGGAATCTTGAAATTTGTTTGCAAAGCGAGGTAAGTGTCGTGGTTAATCTTGACTTGAGGGAATAGAACCCTTGAATTATTTGCTATGTGAATTTCATGTACAACGATGTATAAGCAAGGTGACGAGTGCCTATACTTTGTCAATTTAATTGTTTGCTTCATTATTTAAACATCTTAAATTGTTTTAAGATACGAATTAATTATTATAATAATTGTTTCTCTCATATCCCTTGTCAAATATTAAATCTTGAATTTCTGTAATAATTGTCACATGCTTATTTGATTTATGTGTCTTAATTGCTA